GCGAACTAGAAAATCGTTATTTTTTCTTTTTGTTGTAAATGTTTTACTTATTCAACAACCATTGATTTAGTTCATTTAGATGTTTGAGATAACTCCTTATCCAACTATGGGATGATGGATTCTTTGTTATCTTTGTTGATAACTGCTCTTGTTTTACATGGATTTATCTTATACACCATCATTATGACTTAATCAACGATTACATTAATTTCGCAAGAATGGTTCAAATTTAAATTTAAAAATTCATTAAAGCATTTCAGGATGACCATGCCATGGAATAAAAATGGTCGTGAATCGTCCCTTTGAGAGTCATTGCATGTTAGACGCTCGACGCGTCTTTAGTTAGACACGACATGTCGCCTTAGTCAGACCAAACCCAAATCTTGGGCCTTAAGCCCTATCTAATGGCTTTGACTTATAGTGTTTACTTATTTGTGCAACCTCCTTAATCCAGAAAAACCTAGAGACAAAACTCCACCCTCCTCCCTTGGTGTTGTAAGATAATGTTGTCTTTTGAGTAAACCTTGAAGAAGAAACAAGGGGTAATGATGCAAAGAAGTAAGATCCATAAGAGTTTCAACTTTATCATCATATTCTGGACCATTATAAGTGATAAAATTCCAAGATTTATGTGTTTCATTCATATATCCAGTGTTTAGAAGAGTTTTTAGTCATTTTGGTTCATTTTGCAAGTTGTTCTTGAAGGTAGGAAACTCTAGATTGTTAGACTTCGTTGATGTTGATTTATGGACATGTTGTAGAGTTAATAGTGCATGCATGAGCTCTCTTTGCTCCATGCATGAAGATCTAGCCACTTTTGGCTCATTTTTGGTGTAGGGTTAGGGTTGAACTTGTTAGAGACTTAAATCTGAATAAATTTGGAAACTTAATCATTTAAGTGCTTTATTGGAAGGCTTATGGAAAGTTAGATCCTCTAACTTGATAAATTAAGAGCTTAATGAAAGAGGATGATAAGTAGTAGAAGTGACACATCCATTTGATGGTCGTGGCACGTTGAGCAAATATAGGCGCTACTATTTTGTCATGTAGTGGATGCAACATGACCAGGAGTTGGTCTCGGTGCGTCTAGACGTTAACCGTTAACTTTTTGACCAAGTTGACTTTTGGTCAGATTTTTGATGGAATTGAGTATTAGAATGAGAATTGGTTTTTGTTTTGTATTATGTGGTTTATGCTAGTTTTTTGTTGAGGATACTTCTTTTGAGAGAATTTTTGCTAGATTTAGATAGTTTTCTCACTATACTATATATGACATTAGATGTTCTAGTATGATAGGTTGTTTGTGTGATTGCGATGAGACTGTAGTTTGACTATAACAATTGCATTTTAGATTATAGTAATTGTATTTGAGACTATATTTTGACTATAACAATCATATGCCACATTATGGTTGGACTATAGCAAATATATATAAGACTATACTTGGACTATAACAATAGTATGTGAGACTATGGTTGGACCATAACAAATGTATATGTAAATGAATGTGTGGTATACTAGGAAACTCACTAAACTTTGTGCTTACGTTTTATAATTAAATATTTTTCAGGTTGTTCTGGTGAGAATGTTAAGTGTGTGGTGTGGTTGTACACTTGCATCAGTGTTATGATTATGATTGGAGACTTCAGCTAATTTATGTTATGACTCTGTTTTCAAAAAATACTTTTTATGACTTTTGAAACAATCGGATGATATGTTATTTTTCGTGATGATTTTTGGTTATTAAATCTATTTTTTAAAAACAATTGGTTGAAAATTTGGGACATTACACAGTTTAATTTTAATTCGTGAAAAAATGCACAATAATCTTAATAAAAGAAATAAATTGTAACTATAAATACATTAGGATCACGATTATCAAAAAATTATATTGATACAACTATAAAAACTTCTACCATATAGTCATAATTTTTACCTATATCAACGGTTTTTCATGGGATATTGTTACCAAAGTGAAACTCATCTTAACTTATCCAAAATGACAAAACCAACAATCATGTTTTTAAGGAAAACATAATTGTCGCGAATTGTATATGGTCATCGTTTTTTTGCGTGACGAAAGTCGATTTGTGTAATAATGAGTCGATTATTTTGTTGTTTAAAAGAAAAGGAAGACTATATTCTTATTCATAGTTTTTTAAAATTTTAAGAAAATCTAAGTCATTGACGCGAGGTTTAAGTTTAGTCGTTGAAGATGGTTTGGAGGTGAGAATGGAGCTCGAGTTTAACATCATTATTCCCAGTATATAATTTAAATGTGGTTTTAATTTGAATATTTACTAAAATTTGAAAATTGAAAATTGAAATTAATCGCAAAGAAGCGCGACGTGCTTCTTAAGGGAGCGACACACTTAGGGCCATGGGTTGAACGACTATTTAGGGTTTTAGGGGTATTTAAACACACTTAAGCCTCTATGGTTGGATCATTTACAACATCCCTACCCTTAGAGAGTGTTTCCAAAAACCTTAGCCCATCTCCTCCCATTTTGAGCTTGATTCCACCTTCCAAGCTTATCTTTCTTTGATATGTACGTGAAGCATGAAGCTTGAAGATCAAGATTTCCTTTATACATTTGAAGTGAAGATCAAGTGTAGATCCAACAAGTTTGAACTTTTCTTGGACCTTTGGGAGTATTGAGCTCCAAGATTTCCTTTTTATTTTCTAGACCTTGATTATTTTCCCTTTTATACATTTTTGGTCCCATTTTGGTGTTGATCTTGGAGTTAAGATGACTACTTCCTTTTGAACATTAAGGGTTGTAATATGGACCATTTGGACTTGGAAAATTGGTATCTTGAGCATGTACTCTAAGTTATGCAAGTTGTGTGGACATTTTAGTTCTTTTTTATGTTTAAAATCTAGATCTTGGTTATTGTGGTATGTCTTAATTGATAAAGTTGGAAACTTTATCCATTTTGACCTTAGTAGAGTTCAGATTTGGAAGATGGGGTTGTGACTTATTGGATTAAGTAAAAAACCTTTGTAAAGAAGGCCTGAGTGCGACACATTTTTCCTTGGCGCGGGCACTTTTAAGGTTTTCAGGAACACGCTTGGTTTAGCTCAAAAACCCGACTGTTTTGTCCTTTTGTGGGTGCGGGACGCCCAAGAGAAAGCATGGTGTGCTTTTAAGCAAAATATTGAATTTTGGATTTTTTTTTAACATATTTGGCCTTAGGTCAAACATTAGGGTTCTAGGTCATAACTGAGGTTGACCATTAATTTAACGTCTAGGTGTTATATGACACCGACCTGTTAGTATTCGTGTGTGGTGGTGGTTTTTTAGTCTATTTGTGAGGTGACTTTTCTCACTATATTACTTATGTCCTGTTTGTTATGATTGGATTGTATCTTTAGTTGTGATTGACTATCATTGCATGTTAATATGTTGTAATTAAGTCGTTGATATGAGGACCCGTACATGTTGTAATTGAGTCAATGATGACTCAAGGTCGCTGAGAACCCGAATATACTGTATTTGAGTCGTTGAGGACTCGAGGTTGATCCGACTCGCTGCTGTTATATATATGTTTAGTTGTGTTGTGTTGTATGTGATATTTTGGAGAATTCATTAAACTTTGACTTACGGTTGTGGAACTAAATGTTTCAGGTACTGGATTGGGGAAAACAAAGACATGCATGACTGTACACACTTGTTGACATTTTCAACATTTTGTGATTTCATCTTGTTTTGATACTCTCATTTGGATGATTGTCTTTTAAAACTTATAATTTTATTGACTTGATTTTATGATGATAACGTTTTAATTTAATTAAAAATTAAAAAAAAATTGTTATGAAATTGAGACGTGACATCTAGATAAACAACCTAAAAACTTTTCTCTCTTCTATAACAAGACAGGTTGTTTTCCCGATGGAAATGCCCTTCATGAAAACCTTCCAAATATTCGTTAATAAAAACTTTTGTATAAAAAATAAAGTGTGTATGCATGTGTGAAAACAATATTGTGGACATGGCCTTTCATTAATAATAAATGTATCTTTTAATTAAAATAAATAAAGACAAATAATCATATATAATACATTAACAATTATACTAACAAAATATTAAAATTTCTAGAGTCGGATTAACTTACCTTTCATATGACATATTGCAATACCAAACATGCATTATCCTAGATAAATAAATAAAAAACATTTTTAAATTTTGAATAAAACACAAGTATTACTAATATCGGTGTTACTAAATTAATTATCTACAAAATAAAAAGCATACATTAGGAAAATGTGTTTTATGACATTCATGTTAAAATTTTGTACCTTGAATTTGCGCAATAATTAACGGGTAGAAAGGTTTCATCTTTTAGCACCAACTCGAACTATGATTAATCAACTCCTTTTAGTGTTTTTTTATTCCATGCAAACATACTTTTTGCATGAGGTCAAAGCGACAAACCTTATTAAACAAACCAAACAAACCGTGATTTCGTTATTTACTTCGTTTGGTCAATTATTTTTTTCCGCAATACACCATTAAACTCATGATTTACCTTTTAATTACATTATTATTTTTTATTTTAAAAAGTTTACCGGTTATTTTCAATATGTGTCATTTATTTTTAATTTGAATTAAATAACTCTTCCACGCAAGAGAATCCATGTCACAATAAATAATATCGGGTACTTAAACCCACCTTCTTCATCATTTGATCTTCATTCTTCATTTTTCAGTAGAAAACGAAAGTGAGCTAAGGTTTTTGAACCTTTTTTATGGAGTTGAAGAACCAAAGAAGTAGATGCAATGGTACAATCGTACCTTTATGGACTCTTTGTGATGATGGAACTCAAGTATCAAGTGGTATTTACTCGTAATCATTTATCTTACACTTGTGGTGTGAAAACCACCTTCGATGATGTTCATCTTTCTAATATGACATATTCTAAGTGTTTGACATTCTTTGAACGTTTCATGCATGAAGAATATAAAAAGTTTTACTAATGTGAACCAGAAAAATCCCTGATGGATGTGATTAATCCTATTTTAGATGATGTGGAATATGTTGGTTTTATTTTTGATGATTATGGAACAAATGGTAAAAATTTTGTTTATGTGGATCATGTTGGGTCTGGAATAGAGGGGTGGTTTGATGATGAAGAGAATCCAAAGGATGAACACGAGTCTTGTATTGATGGTGTGGACAATGACGATCTTATGGATGTTGAAGTGGAATTCAATAAGGATGTAGTGATTATGAACAAGACATATAAAGATACTTTCTTGAGTAAATTGTGTGTTGATGTGGATAAGGAAGAGGACAACAACATTGTAAATGATGATAATGGGAGAGAAATTAAACCTACCATGTAGGTTCATCCCATTTTTACACTGGAATAAAAAACCAATTCTTGGAATGAAATTTAAGGATCCGGGGCAAGTAAAATCAGTGTTGTGCAACTATGTTGTGGCTAATTGGTATCAGTTGTGTTTTGAAAAAAAATGAAAAAAAAAAACTTCTAGTGTGGTGTTATAAAGGTGCTTGCACATTTAGATTATGGGCTCTTTGGATGAGTGATGAAGAGAGCTTCCATATCAAGTCTTTAAAAGCTTATCATAATTGTACTAGCAATTTAAGCTGCAATCACTGGTGATATATGCATGGATTGGAAGTCACAATACCAAACAAATTGCAAAAAGAAAAAAAAAATAAGTGTAAGGAAACTGGGGCTGCATGCAATCAAAAAGTTTAGTATCCAAGTGAGCATGGGGAAATGTAGGAGAGCAAGAAGTATGTGATAAATCTTATTGAAGGTACTCTTGTGGAGCACTATGCAAAACTGTGGTTATATGGCCATGAGATACTAAGAACAAATCCAAGTTCTACTATGAAACTAGAGGTGGACCACATGCCATATGGGAAGAAGTATTTCAACAAATTCTATATGGATTTTCAAGGAATGAAACAAGGTTGGATTGAAGGTTATAGAAGGATAATAGGTCTTGATGTGTTTTTTTAAAGGAATTTGTAAGAGGGAATTTTCTTTAATGTTGGGGGGGATTCAATGATAAAATATATCCTATTGCTTGGGTGGTGGTTTGTATGGAGAACAAGCATATTTGGAAGTGGTTTTTAGATCTTCTATTGATGATCTTAATTTGAATTTAGGCAATGACTAAAGTTTAATGTCAAATCAACATAAAGTGAGTATATTAAGTAGTAATATATTTCTATTTATAGTATGAACTAGTTTCTAATCCTTTTGTATTATAGGGTTTGATTAACGTTGTTAAGTAGTTGATGCCATTTGTAGAACCTAGAAACTATGTTAGACATTTTTGCCAAAATTTGTAGAAAAGAAACATTGGCCATTTATCATACATTGTTTTGGATAGCATTTAAAACTACAATTGAAAATGCATTTAAATATGCAATAAATGAAATAGAAATCTTAAACCCAAATGCCTATAAATACCTCATAACAAAGATCTAAAGACTTGGTACACTCATGTTATAGAAAATGGGATGTCTAAGAGTTTTAATGCTATAATTATGGATGCCAGGAAAAAGCTTATTATCACCATGTTAGAAGAGTTAGGATAATACATGATGGATAGAATTTACAATATGAGGTTGAAAGAACAACAATAAGGAAATCATATATGTCCAGACATAAAGGATAAGGCGAATGGCCTTAAAATTCACCAGAGGCATTATGAGGTACTTTTAAATGGATTAAACCAATTTGAGGTAAGTGGTTCAGCTGAGGCATATGAGGTTGAACTGGAAAGAAATACATTTTCTTGTAGGTTGTGACAATTGAATGGATATGGATGTGTTCATTATGTAGCTTGTATATCTTATCTAAATATGGATGTTGAACCATTTGTGGACAATATTTTTAGTACCATCACATTTATGAAATGTTACAAGTACAATATTTCTCTTATGAATGAGAGTGACAAAGGCCACAGATAGAATATACACCTCCATTGTCTCTTGTTATTAGAATGTTGCATGGTAGACCTGATACTAATAGTGGAGTACTCACATTTAGTACCATTCCACCACCTCCATTTGCTAACGAATGTAACATACAAAAATAAATAAATGGTGGTGGTGGAGTACTCACAAAGCATCGGCAACAGGGGGTGGTGGAATGGTGGTTTATGGTGATGGTCTTCAAGGTGATATAGAGGGAGATAGAGATCAAGATTGAGAGAGAGGGGAAGAAGAGGAAGATGATGGCAAATTTTGTGAGCGAGAAATGAAGGTGTCTAAGCCTCATTTTATAGTAAACACACACACTCACATACAAGTTTGGGCCATGCCTCTAGCCAAGCAATGTACTCACAAATTGAAGTATGCATGCAAAAGAGTGAGGATGAGGAGAAGATCACGTGGACAAGACCAAGAGGAGAAGCAATTGGTTGGGGATTTTCTCCCATGCAAGTCATATGGGTCCATATGGTTTATTTTCTCCTTTAATTGCCCAAAACACACAAAATCGAGTGTCTTGAAGATCTCGACATCGGATTGCATTTTCGAAAATTTCTTATGAAAGAGGGTAATTCAAGGATTCCAGAAACCCGAACGGATTATCCGGTAGGCGGATGGGGGTCAACAAGATGGGGGTCAATAGGACTTCAGTTAGGAATGATGGTAGATCATTTGGGACCAGGGTGGTCTCGGTTCATCCGGTAGGCGGATGGGGGTCAACAGGACTTCAGGTAGGAATGATGGTAAGGGATTCGGTGCGAAAAGTCGTGAGCTGATCGGGTGATGCTGAGTTGCTCACCGCAAAATCAAATGCACTCAGAGTAAATGATTTGGCTCGGTGATGTCGTTCTCCTCTAATCATTAAACGTAGCAGAGAGGGATATGCTACTCGAAGGATTGTCTGAATTCTCACGCTGGGTGGAGTTTTCAGTATTGGATCATTATATGTGGGTTTATTCTGTTAGTATTGGTATGATGGCCAGTACTGGGAGTGGCCGGGATTGCGGTTTCAATAGAGTATTGGTCCTCGAAGGAGATTGGGAAAGTTTGTTGCTTATGGAAAGTGCCTTGGAAAGGCTAGTAACAGTGTAGGGTAAAAGGGTAAACCCCTTGTGTATCAAGGGTAAGTGTAACAAGAGTATCGGTAAGGTTACTGGTTGGGTAAAAGTGTTATACTCGAAGGTAGTAATGATCGGGTTATTCTGAAGATGACATCTTCAAGGTTTGGATCGGATGGACGGAGTGTGTAGCTAGTGGTAAAGTGGTAACCGGATGGTAAGGTAGTTAACCATGGTGGACTTCGAGGAAGAAGTCTAGTTTAATTGGGGGAAAGTTGTAACACCCTGAATTCAGAAGACCTAGATAGGAAAGAAAACCTCAAGATAAGGGAGTGACTCGTCGAGTGGATGGGTGACTCGACGAGTAGGAGAGCGATTTTGGTCGCGGGTTAAGTGACCTACTCGACAAGTCATAGGACTGACTCGGCGAGTTGGCCAGGTTTTGGGAAAACCCTAAATCGGGAGTTGGTGCCCTATTTAAGCATCTTATTCTCATTCTATCAGCCTCATTTGTAGCCTCCATTATCCAGAACCTGTCCTACAAAACCCTAGTGTTCTCTTTGAGTGTGTGAGCTTTATTGAAGGATTTAGAGTGTTCTTGAAGTCTAGAAGAAGAAGAAGGAGGTTGAAGGTCCAAGGAGAAGGTTGTTGATCCAGGAAGTGTGCTTCATCTTCTTCATTTTCTGGTAATCAAGTTCTCACCTTGACTTCTAGTTTGATAAGTCTCCTTATGTCCCTTTTTATGGAGTTTATGGTCCAAGAAGGATGTCTTGTGGGATTTGGACGTCCCCAATCTAGATCTTTCCAGATTTATAGGTGTTCAGAGTAGTAGAGGCATAAAGGTGGAAGCTTTATGCCATTATACCTCTCCATGCAAAGTTTTAGGAGTTGTTTTGGCCGTTTGAGCAAAAAGGGCCATGCAAGGGTGCAAAGGTAGCAACTTTGTGTGATATCCCGACCCTAAGAGGCCAGATCTGGGTCTTGGATGCCTTGAGCTTGTCTGAAATTGTATGAATAGTGTTGGACATAGAGTGACTCGGCGATTCAGTTGTGGGACTCGGCAAGTCAGGCCAATTCTTGCCCTAAAACCCTTCTGTTAAGGGTATGAGTGAGCTTGGAAAGGGACTCAGTCGACCCGAGTCCATAATGGTCATGAAGTTCATCGTACTCAACAAGTTCAAGGAAGAACTCAACGAGTCCAAAGCAATCTCCTTAGTTATGAAGATGGACTCGATGAGTTGTTCATACAACTCGGCGAGTCACAAACTACACACATTTATATGTGGATGATGAACTCAACGAGTTCAAAGATGAACTCGGCGAGTCAGTTGGAGGTGGTCTCGATAGTATGGTTGAATGAGAATCTGTCGAGTTCTTGCCAAACTCGACGAGTTGAGTCGAGGGTTGTTTTGGGATTGGAGGAATATAGACTCAAAGAGTTGGTAGACCAACTCAATGAGTCAGGTCAACTGGATGTTGACTTTGACTGTTGACTTTGACCAGAGTTGAGTTTTGGATTATTGTGATCTAAATGTTATTTTTGGTATTGATAGTTCGGGAAGCCGAAGGGTCAGCGGTTCAGAAGTTGCCGATTAGCAGTCAAAAGTGTTCAGCTAGTTTTCAACAGTGCGAGGTGAGTCTCCTCACTGTTTGTATGGGTCTACGGCCACAATGCCGACCCATTTAGTTTATGTATAATAGGAAGACCCGGGGGTTAGCCCTAGGCATTATGTATGAAAGACCAAGAGGCGGCTCCTGGCACACAATAAATGAAATGGAAATCTTAAACCCAAATGCCTATAAATACCTCATAACAAAGATCTAAAGACTTGGTACACTCATGTTATAGAAAATGGGATGTCTAAGAGTTTTAATGCTATAATTATGGATGCCAGGAAAAAGCCTATTATCACCATGTTAGAAGAGTTAGGATAATACATGATGGATAGAATTTACAATATGAGGTTGAAAGGACAACAATAGGGAAATCATATATATCCAGACATAAAGGATAAGGTGAATGGCCTTAAAATTCACCAGAGGCATTATGAGGTACTTTTAAATGGATTAAACCAATTTGAGGTAAGTGGTTCAGCTGAGGCATATGAGGTCGAACTGGAAAGAAATACATTTTCTTGTAGGTTGTGACAATTGAATGGATATGGATGTGTTCATTATGTAGCTTGTATATCTTATCTAAATATGGATGTTGAACCATTTGTGACAATATTTTTAGTACCATCACATTTATGAAATGTTACAAGTACAATATTTCTCTTATGAATGAGAGTGACAAAGGCCACAGATAGAATATA